GTTGCATATATACACGTGTCGTCAGCATAGAGACCTGTATAGACACCTGGTGTTTGGCGCGTATCGTTTATATATAGACGGTACAGTGTGGGGGAGAGAACAGAACCTTGTGGTACTCCTGCTCTACACCCTTGGTGTAGACATTTCACCTTCGACTGAAACTCTGAATTTTCTCTGAGAAAGGAAAGAGCTAATAAGCTTGATTAAACTTATCGAAAATTGTAATGTAGATAATTTATATAGCAAGTCAGTGTGCCATGTTGTATCAAAGGCTTTTTCAATATCCAAGGATACAGCAGCTGTTGACATGTTATTTTTAAAATTAAGGTTACGTGGTCCGTAAGCCTCATACATTGAAGTGTCCTGCTATGACGGGCACGGAAACCAAACTGGCTTGCATTAACCAGGCCTTTTTCTTCAATGTGCCTTTGGAGTATTTTCGGAATAACTTTCGAATATCTTGCCTGTTGTAGGGAAGAGGCTAATCGGGCATAGATTTTGAGGAAATTTTGGGTCCTTACCGGGTTTCGGTAACGTTATGACCTTTGCTTCCTTTTTAAAATGGGACAGCCGAAGGCAGTGATTAAATAAATGTGTCAGATGTACCAGTGATCTTCTTGGAAGATGCCTAAGGCATTCGTTTGGATCACCAATTGTCCTGCATATAACATCGCGGTACGGACCGCACCGAAAACACAGTTCCTTTGTTTCTGTTCAATTGTTGCGTAGCGGACCGCAAAGAAAACATCGTTCCTCTGTTGCTGTTCATTGAAGCATATTAGGAATCTGTTGCCTGGCAGCGGGAGTTGTTTACAGAGTTGTTACTTAGCAACGGGTCCACATGCTACAGTATTAAAACATATTTTAGAGAATTAGGGTGGGGTGATATTGACTGTATCAGGCTCAAGATGAAGACCAGTGGAAGGCTCTTATGAATACAGTAATGAACCTTTGGTTTAGGAAATTCTTGAATAGCTGAGCGACTGTTTATTTCTCAAGAAGGACTCGTCTCCATGGATTTAGTTAGTTGGTTAGTTAGGTACAGTATTTAACGACGCTGTAAATAGCTCAGTATATAGCGCTGACTGTTGCAAATTTTCTGTTAAACTGAATTTTGTTGTTCTTAACTCACAGTCTAATCAGTCCTGTTGTTGATGTTGCTGCTGCTGCAGAATTCGTATTTATAATTACCGTCGCTGTAAATACAGCGAGTACTGAAAAAGCCCGAGCACAAACATGTTCTGTCGCCAGCAAATTAATGCGAAAAAATCGGCCAATTCAAGCGAGGACACACTGATGACATTCAGTTTTCTTCCTAAGGACTTCCGTATGTTATTTGACCCCACTTTTAAGATAACTGTTCCCGCTAATGAAGAGATTTTTACGGTTTGTCTTGATAATACAGTATACACGGGCCGGTGGGGTTATCTATTCCACAAATGACCTTCTGTATTTCTCATCAACCCTATATTTGAAGACTATTTTTTAGTTCTCATTTTACAGTAAATATTATGTTGTTGACAACTAAGGGCCTTCGTCTTGATTAATTCTGCATTATTTTGTCTAAAATTTAAGCTAACACGAGGCATTAAGATTGCACTGATTATTAATTAAATTGCGCTTCTTGCAAAAACTTCACGGAGTTAGTATATGACTGATCAATGTTCGTCAGGCCGGTCACGGTAGCCGAGCGGTCTAAGGCACGTACTGTCTTCGCTCGCTTGGAAACCGGGATCGTGGGTTCGAATCCCACTCAGGGCATGGATGTTTAGTTTGTGTGTGCGCGTTTTTCTGTGTTTGTGTACAGGTAGAGGCTTTGCGACGAGCTCATCACCCGCCCAAGGAGTCCTACCGAATGTGTATAGATTAAGAAACTGAAAATGCCGCCAAGGTCCACAGGGGCTGTAGAGCCATAGATAGTAGATAAGAGTCACTATGAATTTGGAATACAGATCCCTGAACGCATCATTCTCTGGAGGAAACCGTTGTAATAACAAATGCTTTGTCGAGGTATCATTCTTGTCTTGTGTGCATGGTTACATTTATTTTTTCGTGTATCGTGATTGGACACATAATTCTCCCAAAAGGGGCATAGGCATCGCTAAGACTATTTCCGGGGGAGGGAGCAGGAAGATTCCACCCCCGGAGAGGGAATCATGTCTGGTTTACTTCCCCTGCTGGCGCCCATGAGAAGTATGGGCTGCACTTCAAGGGTAAGTATGTCGTGCGTGTGCAGATAAACCACAGACATGGAATTGTCGAAGCAGATTAGACATGTCTGGCAGGGTACTGGAGTAGCACATCTGCTTCTCTCTCTGTCGATATGTACTGCGAAGTGTCGGCTTGACGTCAGCCTCTTGACTGGAGCGCTGTATTTCTGTCTGCCGCGTACACGCCATATAATTCTCTGGCAACACAGATTACACATAAAACTGGCATTTCCTTTCTGTCGGTAATTTTTCTTGGCAAAGGTTGGACAAAGATGCCTGTATACCATGAAAGCGCCAGTGTGGGCGTATGCAGCAACTCGTTACCCACGTATGTCTCTATATAAAGCGCCTCGCAATATTGCTAAGCAAAAATAGATCAGTCACTCTACAGAATAATTCTGCACTAAGAGATGTTACTAACGTCAGAGTGTTCTACATTTTATGAAGGATGAGTCTTACATCTGCCATCGGCAAATGATGATGCAGCAAGACGACGTTTCGGGTGTATCTTATCTATGCCATTAGGCCTCTGCAGACGATGTTCGTTCCTTCTTATAGAACTGTTCTTCTGAATTTGTTTTGTCACGGTTGTAAAGGTGCCCTCCTTCATGCCGGTCTCTTGCTTGACCTACTCTTGGACCTTGACGAGAGAGGCGGTATGTTTCTCTAAAATGTCTGTTGAATTTCGTTGAACAACGCGTCGTTATAGCCAAGAAAACAGAACGCTTCATAGTCACCGCTGTGAGAACCTCAAGTTCCAAAAGTGGACAGGGTTACAGTACTTATCTGTCCACGTTCTTCCCTCTCAAGACATGTAAACCCCTTTCAGATAGGTCACAGAAAAAACCGTAACAGTGTGCAGACATGAGGGACTGCCGCATATATGCCCGATTGTATTTTATTGCCCTCAGAAGGCTTTGGGGTGATTTGGGGTGTTGTGAGGGAAGTTATGAGAAAACTGTATTTTTGATAATGTCTTAATGCGAGAACACAAAGTGTAAAACTACCCATAAACTTATTAAATATTCATATTTCAATTTACATCTTTTTTAGTGCCTTCTGTGAAGTACAGGATTCGTCTTGTTCCTTGTCTATCAAAAAAAGTTTGGCGACCCCTGACCTTCATTATTTATTTATTATCGCATTTGTGGGATCTGAGGTTCTGGTGGCGGTGAACAAGAAGAGTTCTGTCATCTGGAATGTGACGCCGTATAGTCTGGTAGAATGTCACAGAATTTTTGGGCGAATGTGTTGCCTCTATCTTCAGTGAAGTAAAGTTAGCCGGATGGTAGAAGCAGTGTACAGATATAAGGAAGTGACGAAAGAAACTGGGTTGCACCGAGGGGAGCGTCGGCAAGGAACAGTGGGTCTTGATGATGTTCTTCCAGACTACATAGCGCCATATCCCAGAAGAGAGTAATCCTACTCAATCTTTGTTTTACAGAAGGAGAGGCTCTTAAGTGAACCTGAGTGCATTGTGTCGGAAACAATGAGTAATTAGTAGTAACCCCCTTGATGAAATCAAAAGAGCAACGAGGGACCGAGTGCTATAATTGGCGCTCAAATAGCAAGACTATTGTTTCCCCGAACAAACGAACCAATGGCATTCTCTTATCCTTCTCTCTAGGAAATCTGCTGATGACTGTCATTGAAAGCAGCGATGATCTGTCGTTGAGTGCAAATCACGACCGAAGTTTGTAGACTTCGCATTCGCACGCTCTATTTGTGCTACACAGTGTGTCCAGGTTCTGTTAGGACTATGTTCATTAAAAATAAAAGACGTCAATTATTTTTAAAATTTCACCCTTTTTATTCAAAATAGTCTCCTTCTGAATCAATACATAGCTGGAATCGATTGAAAAGCTTTCGAAAACAGTCAATGTACTCCTTTTCTGGAATCGCATTTAAAACTGCGGTACACTCCCTTAAGATGTCCTGGATCGTGTCGTGACGGTCAAAAAATCGCGCGCGATCTTCGATTTGTGTGTGGAGGGGGGACATTGTCATGGAGGAGCGACCAGGAACCTTACTCTCGATATTCAGGTCGAATTCGAAGAATTCTCGCCCACAAACGTATAACCTGCTAGCAAACTGACCGTATGAAACGTTAAGGAACAAAGTTTTGCTACTCTGTTTACAACTATTTCCTGTCTGGTCAACATATATTGAAGAGTTCTGTTTTCTTGGATATAACGCCGTGTAGTCAATTGAAAGGCTGATGTTTCAGAGGAATATGTCGCCTCCATGGTCAGTGTTAAAGAATAAGTCAAGCAAGAGCCAAACATGAAACAGGAAGTAAGGAGATCTCTACTTGGCCTACCCTTCAAGAGTTCAGTGGGGGAAAAAAAACTCTGGTCGTGGGTCTCAATGGACCTGACGGCAAGACGAACTGATTGGCGGTAAACCGCCAGTCGTAAAGTGACTCTGACTTTGACTCTGACTCTGGCTCTGGCTCTGGCTCTGGTAAGAGGTAAATATCTGGTCACTGGGCTCTACACCAAGATTGACTGACTGACTGACCGTCAGTCGCAATGTGACTTAGACTTTGACTATTAAGAGGAGAGAGTACAGTAGTGTGGGTTTTGCAAGAAATAATGTTGTTGGTACTGTACTACATATTAGTTTCCAATTCTTCAGACCGAAGTGAGTCTGTGTACTGTGCAACTATAATAAATATTTACGGAACAATTCAACAAGTGGGTGTCTCTTCATACATCGACATCCCACACCTTATTCTGTTCACATTCATTTAAATGAAGGTCTCTTGAGCTGTTTGTGTCCTTGTTGCAGGTAGTCACTGTGTGCCTTAGTAATGCCAGCTGACTATGAAATGCTAGTGGCACGCAGTCCTCCGGTCTCTGCAGACTTCCTGTCAAACTATTCGAGCTGCAGGCTGAAGTACGAAGCTCCAGCCTGTTCCTGTATCCGTCCTCGACAGTTCAGCCCGCAGCTACCAGCACAGCGTACCTCCCCAGTCCATCTGCCAATTCATTCTCATACTGATACCCAGCTTAAATCCGTAAAAATGCCAGTAGCAGTTCCGAGGCGACCGTGCCTCGTAGTGAGGCCCGAGGATACCTCCGGTTCTTCAGATGAGAATGATCTTCCAAGCCCAACTCGTCTGAAGAAGAAGGTCGTGTTTGCCGATGACAAGGGCCTTTCACTAACACAGGTAGGTTTCTTCCTTTTCTTTGTAAACACAAGATCTTCCTAAGCAAGTTAACAGCAGACTTGAATAACTAGCATGTACTGTTTGCAGAGGTAATCTGGGACTAGTCCCAGACAGTACTTTGGCTTTGTGGTTAAGTGGGAGGAAGTGGCAAAAGACATGAGAAATTTACATACTGGGGAACGTCATAATCGGTATCTTTTCGCCGGATATTTTAGGGTGATAAATTCACGCATATGAGAGATGAGAACTGGATATAAATTTTAGTCAGAAACCCCCGCGAGAAGAGACCAGCTAGGAAACTTAGGTGTAGATGAAGTGATAATATTATAGCGAATCTTACAAAAATAGTGTGGAGACTGGACGTATATGCCTCAGGCTAAGGTCCAGTGGCTGGCGCTTGTGACCATAGTAAAGACCGTCAGGTTCCGTAAAAAGCTGGGTATTTCTTGACCAGTTGACTGACTGTTAGCAACTCAAGGACTGCGCCTTGAAGTTAGAAAAGAAATGTGGATTTTTAATATTTAGTTAATCAGAATAGCTGGTTTGCTAATAGCAAATTATTTGTCCTCCAAATTGTACTTTCCTGCGGTAGTCTCACTTGAAGTCCTATTTGCTTGTTTTCAATTTTAAAATATTACATTTACGTATACAATAAAGAGGGTAAAGCTATCCCTGTAACGGGCCCTGAAGGCCCATAGGATTGTGAAACGTCGAGGCTCCCACATTTTCTCTAGACAGTCGGCCCACAGATGGCGCTAAGGTTGTCAGCCTTACGCGCCGGCCGCCCTTTATCCTCCAGGAACATTCCTGGTACTCATTTCTGTTAGATGCTGACTCGACCCCAGGGCCATATTGCGGCTGGAAGGATTAGGCAAATCTGAAATCCACCTCATCGGGACTCGAACCCGACCTTCCGGTTTGTAGGATAGTGTCTCAACCAACTACGCTACCGCGTACCCCACCTGTAGAATAAAGCTCATGTTAATATAAGTATATAGCTGGCTTCGGAAAATGATGAAATACTGTTCCGGTAGAAAAGGCTGAGACTTTTCTGACGTTCCTGGTGTTTGCTTGTCCATAGGTTCGCGTGATGACTGAACCGTCGAATGTTCCACCAATGTTCAGCTTTCAGTTCCTTGCCCAAGTAACAAAAGGCATCTCAGCTGAAGTAGTGCCCGAACCCTGGGAGGTGACATTCCAGCAACCTGCATCGGATTACCTGGACTTCCGCAAGCGTCTGGACACAGGGAATGTCTCACTGGAGAATGTTATCGTCCGCGAGTCAGAGGACATTGTAGTGGGCACAGTGAAAGTGCGAAATATCGCTTACCACAAAGAAGTGTTTGTCCGCACATCATCAGATGACTGGATGACACATGAAGATGCCTACTGTACATTTGTCAACAGTAACACAACTACCCCTGAAACTGCAGCCTTTGTTCTGTACGATACCTTCTCATTTCGGCTTACCCTCCCACCCCGTTCCCACCGTTTAGAGTTCTGTGTGTGTTTCCGGTGTCAAGGAGCTGAATACTGGGACAGTAACTCTGGCAAGAACTATGTCCTTCTAAAAAAGTCTTCAAGCAAAGAAGAAGAGTTTCTGTTGCACAAACTGCGGCGTAGTAACAGTGACAACTCGCCCATCCAAAATAAGATAAGGTGTGCAGACGCCGTTCACGCCAAACTAGATTCTTGGTCAGAATTTGCGAGTTGGAACCATCTGGACAATAGCAGTCCATACTGGTGACTTGCCTCATTCAGTTCATTCGTTTGGTGCGAAGTAACAGCGGAACTCTCTGTTCCCCTGGATCTTGCCAGGGCTCTATCACGTCCAGAGTGAGCCATTCGAAAGGTAGGAACTGCGGTTTATGCCGCCTGTTTTCTTTCTTTGGCTGTTCACTGTCTTCCTGTATTGGTGGCTGGGTTTCGTGTTTGGCTTTGAATTGTAGATGTGATGGTGTGCTGTAAGATAATGCCTTATTTGAAGTGAGATAATCAATATTTGATAGTTTGCATCACATCTTCATAAATGCAATATTGCTGCTTGCTCACTCTGTACGTCTAAATGCTAGCCAACACCAATTTCATCTTTATAAGTGTGAAGTACTAGGCTCACTGTTCTCAGCCATATCTTTTCATATTGTGTGTAGTTTGCTTTGAGTGACCAGTAACTCACAGGTTCTGACAAGAATAAAACCAGTCGAAGTTCAGCGTGAAATATATTTAAAACATTCATGAATGCCACACATTCATTGTGCTAGAGTTTAAGTATATGCAGCAGGTTTCTAAAAGGGATCTGATGAAGTTGTATATTCTATATCAGATCAGTTTGGTAGTTTTACGTTTGCATAACGCCTCTGTTCACTGCATGTTTGCTGCCCAGTCTGATGTCACTAAAAACTATTCCATTGAAGTCTTTGAGCATTGCAACAGTTGTCATCTGTTGTGTAACCAGCAGAATAATGACCTTCATTATTACATAATGGGACTGACCCTATGCCGCATCTTGTTCCTTATGCAGCAAGGCTCTATATTGTAATTTACTAGATTTCTATTATTTTAAAGTTTGTGTTAAGATTTTTAAAATATATAATCAGTACAAAATCGACAAAAATCAGTACCAAAAATTACAGGGTGTTTGTGTCATAGTGGTTTATTTAATATTTTGTTATAGGGTATAAAGCAGGTCCTAACTTACAATGCCTGTTAAATTGCTGTAGGTGTTGTCTTCTTGTTTTATCTGACGCGATGTACCAGAATCAGTGGGGTGGTAAGTAACACTTGTAAGGACCTCTCTATTGATGGACTTTGGTGACAAAACACTAAATCATACTTAAAATACCTGAGGACGATTCATTCAGGGAGTCACCGATTTCTTCTGATCCAAAAAGGAACGATTAACGTGGCTGCACTCACCAGCAAGATAATGAGGCCAAGTTATGAAATTTTAAAAAAATAGACAAACGTAAATAGGCGTTAGAGAACAGGATACTGAAGTGTTGGCTGAAGGCTCCCAGACCCGTCAGAGAGTAAAATATGGCCATGAGACCCGTGGGACTGGAAACCAAGAATCGCTGTGCTGGCGAGGGCCAGCAGCAATTTAGCAGTCCATCAGGGTACTAAGAAGAATATGTGGATTTAAGAGGCAATAACGGGGCTAGAGAAAATTACGTAATGAACTATTATTTTCTTTCGCTGTACACGGACGAGAAAATTTTGACACTTAAATTATTTCATGCTTCATTATTTATAGTTGTGGAAGGTCAGTGAGATTGGTTACGACGTCTGCTCAATTTTGCCGGGATAGCATAGTCGGTATAGCGACTGGCTAGAGCTGGACGACTTGAGGGGTCGGAGTTCGAGTTCCGATGCCTTCAAGAATTGTCTCTTCTCCACGTTGTCCGGACCGGTTCTGGGGTCCACCCAATCTCCAATCCGATGGGTACCAGGGGCGCTTTCCCCGGAGCTGAAGCCGCCGGGGCGTGAAAATGACTACTCACTTCCAGCTAGTGCCGAGGTCAATAAAATGTGGATCTATACATCCACTCCCCCATATGCCTTCATTGGGTAGTGCTTAATTAGTTAAGCACAGGAACAACTTTACCTTTTATAAAGCGTTAGTTTTATATTGTAATTCATTTTCATCTAGACATTTGCTTGGATAGTACCACGATTAGGACACGACGACTTCCTTCCAAATCCTTCCCAAATCATCATTCACTTATGATCCGTTTATTTTAACGCTATACAGTCTAGCTACTGAAAACGTCGTTCCAAAACCCATATATATATATATATATATATATATATATATAATGCATTTAACGTACAAAGAAAATACGTTTGTAGCCTGTATTTACTGTGCGAGGCAGGCAGGTTACGGGTCAATGTAAACATCACTGCTGTTTTACCACAACCTGAGTTAGAAAACGTTTGATAAAAGCTGGTTTAATGGCTACAAATTCTGTTTCGCATGAAGAAGGAACCCAGTTGGAATCTCGGTCCACATGTTCGCAGTGTTGACCGAAATTCGTGTATTTTCCTACAGCCCTTTAGGGAGACTGTTGGCAGACCCACACATGCTACAAGACCAGCCTATCTAATCATCCTTGATTTAGTCATACAGTATTTGGTAAAGAATGTAAACGTTGAATCCCTTTTGACGGTTTCTCCATCGTAACACTGTACATCCCATCTAAATTATATTTTAAATTTCAGTATCTGCCTCCAATAAAACACATTGCGTCTTCATTACAAATGCACATTGGTCAAATCTTGAAAAAATACTGCTCGTTCTGAGAACCATAAGAAGACCGTAATAAATTCACTCCGCAGGCAAAGCGCAGTTTTTTAATGTTAGAGCAGGTAGTAGGTATAGTCATCATTGTTCTGTAAAGAGGTGAACACTTAGTAAGATTTGGTTCAGAAAGTGCGGGTTTCTAAAATAAAATATGCAAATTTCGTAGAAGAAAAGTATAGTCGGAAGTGAGGAAATAGATGAATGTACTTAATCATAGTTTCGTAAGAATAAAGGGGTTATTTAGTTCATTTTCATTTATTTCATTCATTCTTAAATTAAGTTATATGAAACTTTCAGCAAATATGTATTTAAAAATTCTGTCATAAATTGCATAGAAGTTACTGTGAACAACCTAACAAAACACTTTTTAATTACTCACCCTTTACTAAATTTCAGTACCCTTCGCCAAGAATATTAGAAAGACCAAGTCAAGGAGGATGAGATTCGCAGGGCGTGTAGCACGCATTGGGAAGAAATAGACCACTAGGAAGACCTAGATATATGTGGAAGGATAATATGAAAATGCATCTTAGAATAATAGTATGGAGCGGCATTGACAGCATTTATCTGCCTCAGGATATGGACCAAGGATTGTCCTTGTGAACACGGTAATGAACTTTCGGGTTTCATAAAATAGTGAGAAGTTTTTGAGTAGCCGAGCAATTGGCAGCTTATCAAGAAGGAATCAGCTTCATGGAGTTAGTTGGAGTTGGCTGGTTGATGGGTTAGTTAGAATGGATTTTCTGGTGCGTGACGTTGTGTAGTCTGGGAGAGCATTACCAACGTTCCAGAAGAACTCTTCTACCCCGAAAATTGAGGCGGCACATTCATCCGAAACCTTGGTAACGATCTACCAATCTATACACCGTCATATCCCGAAGTTACTGATCTTCACAAATATCTACTTCATATATTCAGGGAGAAATCGTCGCTATTGTATGAAAATCAGTTTCACTTCCAGTTTGAAAGTACCCGGTTATGTTCTGGCAAAGAGCTGAACTCTTGGTCACGACCTACTTCAATTAGAACTCGTCAATTTATTAAAAACTCGTTTAGTCTTGTGTCGTAACTAATACAGTACTAGCTCTCAGACTGCCGGCGCCATCTGTAACCGCGAGATCAACTGATCTGAGTGAAGGCAGTCCAACTTTAGAATACACTGAGAGACAATACCGGTAGTTGGTTCCAAATGTTACGTCACCTGTGTTCTGAATAGCAATTGTTCTAATGATGACTTCTTCAAGGCCTGCGCATGCTTGTTTTTATGTCAAGACCATGTAAATGATCTGAGGATAACACGTTATTGTACACACACACACAGACACACAGCCCTAAACCATATAGCTTTCTGTACATACAAAAATTTTGTAAGCGTGAAAATTATCATTATCACTAAGCTACTTCAGTTTGCCATAGCAACAAATTGTCGAGCGTTAACACTTTGCATGAATGCAAGGTGTGCAGTAGGTCACGAACGAACAGCAGACTTGTTTCAATGTATCGTGTCTATTCTGTGAGTACTGATAATATTTTTATATGGATATGTGAAATGTAGTATACATATAAAGGGGGGGGGGCAGTTTACTATTGACTATTTATGGGTATTATTCATTGGAAGCAGCGTTAAACCTCAGCCTCAACGCATTATGTGATAACATGTAGTACGTGAAAGGAATATGGTGGAAAAAGGGGGAAGTTAGTAGTACGAAAGCTTGCATAACAGAGGACAAGAGTTCGCGTTGAATCCTCAGCGGTTGTGGTACTGCTGCTCTTATAAATCAGACATTGAACTGGTTCACACCAATTCATTTAGTATACGAAGTAGCAAAGTTCAACTATTTGGGAACGACAGTACAAAAATAGAAACTATAGTCACGGAGAGAAAGAGAGCCGCCATTCTTCAGCTGAAATACGTAAATGCTATTATAGACTTTGTGAAACTAAATTTAACCCGTTGTTTTGTATTGGTGTGAAACTCGACATCTCGCCTCATATGACGAATCGAGGATCATTAAGAACAGAATACTAAGGAGACTGCGAACCTAGGAATAGAGAAATTCCATAATAAGGAGTTTCATAACTTGTACTCTTGACCACATATTGTTAGAATATTGAGGTCAACGAGGATGTGATGGCCAAAACATGCAGCACGCGTGTGTCAGATAAAAAGTGCACGTATTTTGGTCGAAAAACATGAAGGAAGAAGACCACTTTCTAATCCTGGGCATAGATGGGGGTGATAATATTAAAAATAAATCTTAAAGGATTGGAGTGTGAATTGTTGAATTGGATTCATCTCACTCAGAAGAGAATCTAATGGCGGACTCTTGCCGATACGGTAATGGTCCTTCTGGGTCCGTAAATGGTAAGGAATTTCTTGACGGTAGCAGCTGCTGCAGTTTCTGAAGGACTCTACTGCATGGTTGGTTAATTAGTTGGGAAGATATTGTGACGTGTATACACATTGCTAGACAACGGATCGGTAAACATATTCCCGCGACAGTGGAAGGACATCCATTGCTAGGTAATGGACCAGTAAGCACACATACTTGACAATAGAAGACGGTGTTTTCCGTGGGATCCATGCCGAGCAGTTACAAGAGGGCCCAGCAAGAAGACGAGACGGAGTATACAGTAACAGAAGCAGAGTAGCAGGGAGTAACCGCCTCTGTGGTCTAGTGATCAGAGTTCCTGGCTGCAGATCCAGAGGTCCGGTTTCGAATTCCGGCGCTACCAGATTTCTGAGAAGTAGTGGGTCTGGAACGGGGTCCACTCAGCCTCGTGAGGATAATTGAGGAGCTAATTCAAGGAAATAGCGGCTCCGGTCTAGCAAACCGAAATTAACAGCCGTGGGGATTTGTTGCGCTGACCACGCAACACCCTCTACCCGCTAAAGTTGGCACTAACTTCGCCAACACACGGCGGTCGCTCGGTCAATATAGTTCGCTTGCGGACTACAAGCCACGGAGTTGTTTTTTTAGCAGGGGTAAAGAACAGTAGTCGGAAGGGAATTGGGCCGAGCTCTGGAGATGGCAGTCCAAGATGAATGAAAACAAATGGCAAGAAACGAATTAGGCGGCGAAAAGAAGGTTCATGTGTGATTTGAAGTGGCAGTGAGACTGTGATGAATCCATTGCCAGAATACGACTAGTGAAAACTGAGAATCCTAGTGCTTGTGGAACGGTGAACTGAAAAATGTGTAGAATGGCGATAGCGCTGTATTGCCTGTAGTCCCGAGTTGTGCGAATGTATAAGGTGCAAAAAATCCAATCCAAAACTCGTCTTATAAGTCACCTATACTCGTGACAATATTTTATTTTCTCCATAATGTCCAGAGGTCTGGGACCTACTCACCTACCTACGATGTGCATCGGGGACTGTTTCCCCTAGGGATAAAGCGGCTGGGACGTGATGCTGGCAACTCACCTCCGTCTAGCTTCGAGGTTAACAACGGTGAAGCTATACCGCCACAACCCCCCCCCTCCATAATCTTTAAGTCAGGGTTCTTAGTTAAGCGTAGGGGACGAATTTACCTTTATACATTTTATTGGTCTGGACGAGGCGTAGAAGAGATTCTAGCTTATTTAACCGCTCCCTTCCAACGAAATTGTTAAGTAATTTCGTGTGGTAAGAAGATGCTGATGCTAGAAAGGAAACGGAAAGAAGCGGTCCTCATTTGATACACTAAAGGTGTACGGGCATTTGTCTAGAGCAGCCGTGTCAAACATGCGGCCCCCATAACCACAAAGTGCGGCCCCTCAACTTTTAGAGCTAATTGATATTAAAATCAATATTAAAATTTTAGTAGAAATATTTTTTGTAAAGACAGTTTTCCAACATACCAGAAGACAAGAAGTCTCATGCAGACATAAATTAGCAGGCTGCAGGAAATTCAATGATTTGCTATTTCTAACATAATTTCTTGTGTAATCTCTCTTTTTACATATTGAAAAGCTGTTTGATACTTGTCAAAAAATGGCATTCTCTTGCTTTTTAAAACTCTAAGATATGTGACCTTAGGTAATTATATTGAAATTATTCCTAAATAATAAATAGAATTAAATTTCCTTGTATCAAAATTTAATGTATATTTCTATTTTGAAGTGCGGCCCTGGACTATAATTTATAGGGCTGAGGTGGCCCTCTGTACAAGTTGAGTTTGACATGCCTGGTCTAGAGAGACTGAAACTGCGAATTTCCTTACTACCTATGCAACCAGCCAAATGCCGGGTCACAGACTGAGGATGTGATTATGTGCTGCCTGGTCAGGGGCACAGCTCCAAAAGCTTGTATGTAAGATTATGAAGAAATAGTGAAATGTTAACGGGCAAGGGAGAACCTGAGAAACTCGGAGAATAATCTGCCCCAGTGCCACTTCGTTCACCACAAATTCCACATTAATTCACCCCAGATTGTACCCTACCGCTGTCATTAAAAACCATCTACTGACTCCCTGAATTATATCATAGCCACAGAGACTGAAGAATACCACGTAAAATTCAGGTAAGATAGGCGATTTGCGAGCCGTTATTCAGCCTCACACCTCCTGAATATGAATCGGATATCAACCAATATACCGCGACATTTGGTCTTGTAAAAGAGAGTTGAGATGCAACTCCGTTCGTCCAGTCCCTAGTCTGATTTAGTCTCAACTGCAGACGTACATTTGATTTCTCCTCTCTTAGACTCGCTGTAGAGGAGACCGAGTTTCAGATTTCAGGTTTGCTCTGTTTCTGAAAATGAACTTCAATGCTTCAATATGAACTTTTTAGGGATCAAGGTATGTGTGAGTAACAATAGGGACAATTTCCGGCATTGTCTATGATCTGGATGGGTTTCAGCTACGATGTTTTGGCGCATGGCGCATGTCGATTGCACTGCGGGTCAGGTCACGCGCGAAAAAATTGTGCTCAAGGATCGTGTGTGTCTACCGCTGGAATGACCGAGAGTTTTATGGCAGGCCCGTAGTTGGGAATTCCAGTGATTCAGTATTGAGGGGGTGGGTTTCCCCATGCACCGCGACTGATAGTCTATTGTACATCCCCCTTTTAATTTCTACCGTCTCCATCCCCTACCGATACTGGTGCTCGCTATCAGCCCCTTTCTGCCAGCGAGGTTTCTACCCTCTACTTGGCAGTGGTATCTAATAGTTAGTCCCTTTCTGTCAGCGAGTTAGTCCCTCCTCTGGCAGTGGTACCTAATACTTCCCCATCTATCGGAGGCATTGGAAACTATTTGGGCGGGAAACTTTTTGGCCTAATTTAGCTCAGAGGCATCCTAGAGGCATGATGTTCTTTTACGTGCCGTAAATCTACGACACGGGACCCACGGCTTAAAGTCCCTCCCGGAGGACTTGTTCCCTGAAATTTTCCGCCCTTAAAAATTCCACGATCTCCGCCGGGTTTGAACCCGCGTACCTTGAGTGTAGTTGAGAATACTTGTAGTACTGGCAGAATGATACTTGGCAGGGGAAAACCAAAGTGCTTGGAAAGAATGCTGTCCAGTCCCAATTTATTTTCAATAATCTCGCATCGATTGCATTGGAATGAAACCTGGGATCCTACAGTGGGAAAATGGCGAATAACGCGTCATCTCTAGCAAAGATTAGCCCATGTAAAAAATTAGCTTCAACTTGTTAAGTCTTAGGTTACTGCATTTGACCAGTCAAGAAACTGATGACAAGAACATTGAAGGGAATACACAGGTCTCATAAGTACATTATTACGACATTCTATAGGATCATTTCTGTTCATTTCCTTACAGCGATTAGTTGGCCTCTGAGTTTGATCCCCTGACCTTTTGACTAAGAAGCAGTCACGTTTATGTCACATGAATGTAAAACCTGCCCTTACCAGTAAGATTTTATTTGACCTCTGGCAGATCAAAGATTACAAGGTTCTTTGGCACTCATAGTGGTCAAACATGACAGTAGTGTTTTTCGTAGAGTGATCCAATGTGGAAATATGAACATCACCTGCCAGCACACAAACTTAAGTGCTTACTTTACTGCATTTCCATGACACTCCATATCACGCGGCATTCACTTCAAATTGAGTTGCATCTTCGAGATACATCATCTTATTTTGTGCCTGTTGGATCATAATGCGCTTGTGTCTGTATCCACATCCCCATGTACCGGTCTTCCCTAAGAAAATTGTAATCATTTGTCTGATTTCCATGGATCTTTGCATGGACACTATGTCGTTATAGTTAGTACCTCATTTGTGACTAGTATTATACAATGTTCTATAACATGAGTAACACTGACATAATGATCTCATAAATTACTCTAATGCCAATTAATGTAAAAAAAAGAAAGGTTAAAGCTATCCATATAACAGGCCTTAGAGGCCCATAGAGTTGTGAGACGTCGAGGCTCCCACGTTTTCTAGACAGTTGCCTCATAGATGGCGGTGAAGTTATCAGCCTTAAGTGGCGGCCGCCCTTTACCCCCAGGAAGATTCCTAGTACTCATTTCTGTTAGAGACTGTGTCAACCCAAGGGCCATAATGCGTCTGGAAGAATTAAGTCAATTGAAACATCCAGTGGCCTTATCAGGAATCGAACCTTCGACATTCTGGCTTGTAGCATAGTGCTTCAACCAACTATGCTACGGTGTGTCCCTCTCCGTCATTAATGTAATGTCTTTAATTATTTTTTTGATAAGAGTTTTCATCCTGTTGTTACTTCCACTCTCTTACTTCCAAATGTTCTCCTCATCACACTGTTCTCAAAGCACATTTACATCTTTTCTTCAAGTTGGGAGACCAAGTTTCATGCCCATGCAAAGCAAAAGGTATAATTACATTTTAGACAGAAGATGGGAAGAGAAAAGTTGTGAAAAATAATGAACTTATTGGTAGGAAGCATTCCCCAGTCTAAATCTGTTCATAATTTGCTCATGAAATTAATTTTGATCTTTCACTGTCAATCCCAGTTATCTGAATTTTACCACAGTTTATGATTCTGCCCTGAATTTTGGTGCTGAGACCTGAATATATTCTTAAGACATAATTATTTGTAATATGATATAATAATAGATTTACTTGCTTTTTGGACATTTAGACAGAATGCTAGATAATGTTTAAAAAGTCAGAAATTGTACTATATTATTAATTTTCCATTTAGAATCTCCTTACCACTGTCTAGTACAGTGAATTTGAGGCTGTCACTGCAGTGACTAGAGTAGAGGCTACTGGATTGTAACATTGTGATTCAACATTCTATACAGTGTCTTATAGATTTATGCATTCCTCTGTTTCTGAAACATATTCTTCTGTCTTTGCAGAATGCAGTTTGAAGATTGTGGCAGCAGTCTCTTTTGCGCTCGTAGGTTCTGTACCTAAGACATACTAATCCCCATGTCAATGGAATTGATGCTCCAAATAAATATGGATCTAGTTCAGCAGCAGCATATCTGATGGTACAGGAAGTTGGCTGCAGCTTCAGGACAACAGGAGGACTCAAGAAGTGTTTCAGAAAATGAACTGATTACAGGCATGACATAAGAGGCAGTCTGCATTAACCACTTGAAACAACTGAAATGTCTGATGGCACTACCTCCCTGGCTTGATTTATTGTCGCATGACTTCTTGTTCCTTATATTGTAAATCTACTCTTATTTCAGTCACTAGCCACTTTCTTTATGAGACATTCTGAAAGTCATATATGGGAAAGATTTGTAAAGTTTCAGATTATAAGTGAATTGTCAATTCAAATATTCCCCAGTCTTTTCATCTTTTGCAAGAGAGTTTCAGGAATAGAATCTCGTTAATTGACTTCGACCAAAATCATTTCCTTTCCCGCTTTTTTTTCTGTAAACTAAGTCATATATGATATACATTGTGAATTTCATGACTAATTCATAGTAAAATTATGTCATCATTAACTGGAAATTTTAGTATTTTGAAATATTGATAAAATAGTTCCTTTGCTCAAGATTATTACTGATGTAGGGTGATGTGTGAAAACTAGTCAAATCAGGGTTAGTGCCATGAAAAAAAAATGTTCCTTTTAGATATTTCATAGTTAGGTCTCAGAGGGCTAGAGTTGTAAAAAACAACTAAGATAAAAGCGAACTGGTGTGCAGAGGACATATGATTACTAGCAAGAAAAATTATAAAATATTTGGCTTCTAAGAGGAAGCAGCACTCTGCATAAATGGAGTATAGAAATGCAAGCGTATGTTAACGTCAATATTGTAATTGCATTTTTTTTAGATATTTCGTGCAGTGAAGTGTTGAAGGATGTAGAGAAAGTATAATGAAACTGTAAAAAATGTGCAGCCTTGAATGGAAAGGATGTGGTATGTTTAATTTATTTACCTGGATGTTGAGTAAGTGAACTGTTTAATTTAGGCCTGTGATAATATGTGATGAATGTTTTGGGACAGGATGGTGAGTACAAGTATATACAATTCACAACGCCCACAGAAGACTCAACATGAAATGTGTGTCTGTGTAAAGAGTGACTTTAAATGAATGCTGTGTTTGAGAAAACAAAGACTGAAAGTAATAAATAGAAAGTGAAGGTATCAATCCCATTTGCCACAATCCTCATTGTACATATTTTTTATATTAACCTTTTATTATGATGTAATTTTATGAGCTGAGAATTCTTTCTTTGAAAACCACAATAATCCTCTTTTTGTAAAAGTAAAAAACTATTAAGAGGTTATGATTGGTATAACACTCAAGCAGTCTTGACTGATTGTTATTTGTAATGTGTAGGTTTTTTTTATTGAAGAATGTGTACCTTCCAGTGTGTCATGTAGCATAATATGATTGAGCAGTAATTCCAGTACATACTTATTTGGGAAGCTAATAAAATATTATTGCTTATGACACCATGGGTACTTAACATAAAGCAGAATTGGCAGGATCTTTACTTCAGAAATTTGCGTGAATTATGGTATGGTTATATACTTGTCTTTTTTGTGTGTGTTTTTACAATATTTAAGAAATATGTTATGAATGTAGTGTGGGTGCCAATATATGCTACATCACTGCAATATATATCTCTTTTACATGCATTTCTTTCAATGAAAGATGGCCACTTTATAACAATAGGCTTGTTTTTACTAGGGGATATATTTTTCATATTGAAGTTGGCCCCATGTTTAGCTAGCCTTGTATCTGAATTTTGAAGACTCTTTTATTCATTCTTAATAAACTGAAGCTGTATTGGATGTGAGTAATTACACTTACATAATATTTGCTCAGTTTAAAGTATGTTTGTATACACAGCAGCTCATATATATAATATATAAATCTAATTATAGCAACAAAATATATTAGTGATGACCAGTTATAGTGTGCTATGTGTTGTATTCTGGGATGAAAAGAAAAATATCTGATAAATTTACATTATGACTTATTAATGAGGTCATATTATTTTCTGTCATTTTCTAGTCAAAGCTTAGCCACTCTTCTCCTTAAACTCTTAGCTCTGTAAGCATTACTCATTAAGCATTCAAAACTAAATGACCAACAATCATAATGCGTGAAACCAAGAGACTGATTAGTTGTTATATGGGATGCTTAAGCATCGTTCTGACTAATTAGAAATATTGGTTCCTATACACACAGACACACACACACACCATCGTTTCATAAGTTTAGTATTTTGTACAATTTGTGTATGGAGTCATGCCACTTATTAATATTGAGATGAAATATGTTAATAAAAATGCTTTGAATTTGAAGTTAAATATCAATTATTGAGAGAATAACTTTAAAGAACTTGTGGACCATACTGAGATAGTTCTAAAAATTATTTTTGGAGGTCTAAATTATAATAGAAGAAGGTAGGTGGTGTATAAAAAAGATGAAGTTTGAAGCAGAAGCAATTGAACCCTAGCATTTTAAGCAATGGTACTGATGAATGTACTCTTGGCAATAAGCTGCGCGAACCAAGATTTGTCATGTCACAGGGATAATTATGAATATGTGTAAGAAAAAGAAAAATGTTGCTTCTGTATGTCATGCAATCAAGCAATGTCTGTAGGTGTATCTGATTTATGAAACTGGATAGATGTGTTATGTGTATAATCAGCATTACTTCGTTTTCCTTAAAAACTTTTCCTATTGTTTTTGTCTCAAGTGGGAACATAGTTATATGGCATGTAGAAAAACCCTCAAGCATCACTTTTCCCTATCATTGCCATGTACACATAGATACTGTATGTCCTAACATGCACATATCCTATTTTGCATGATGAAGTTACGCTTCATTCATTAGTAACCTACAAGTGCCCTTGTAACAGGCTGGTGCTAATGTTTAGAATGTTTGGAATGTGAAGTTATTTGGAAGGAAAATGTAAATAAAGATACTTTCTTTCAGAGGAGAATGAGGACATGTAAGAATAACAAATAGTGCCAGTTAAAATTCATTTATAAGGGAAGGGGAAATGTTAGTTTTGTTTACATTGCTTGAACCATCTTCTGGTCATTGTTTTGTAAATATAGTGTCTCATTTCACATACTAGTTATAAGAAATGCAAGAGTTGTGGATTACAAAATCCAGAGCAGAGCACATATATACATAAGGTTGAAATAAATTATTTAAAGTTACAGATGATATTTTCGGTTGTTAATTTTTGTCAGGAGCACACCGACAGAAAAATGTATGTAAATATTTTTGTTAGATTTTTAATATCAGCTGATGCTCAGTTTAGCTTGGTCTGCAGAATGCTTAGATACAATAAATAAAAAATGATGTTATTAAGAAGCAATATTTCAATTTAATGAGTTATGTTATTGTAAATATATTTTTATAAAATATCCTAACATGACAAATACTTCAGTAATATAGAGAGCTATTGAAAATGGTTTGTGAATTATATGATTAGTTTATATATACTTCTAATGCTCACTTCAAGGTAAATTGTATGAATTAAAGTAAATGAAGGTGGAATTTTTGTGACATAATTCGTTCAAGTCCCTTTTCTCTGTGTGCTTCAGTCCATCTTCTTCCTCTTTTTTCCATAATCTGAAGTGTTGTATTGTGCTTGAAGTGCTGTTATAATAGAATCTGATAATTTTTTAAACTGATATGAAACAGGTTTACAGTAGTTATATGTTAGACTTCAGCCACCAACAACAAGAATCGTCATCAAATATCTGCACATATTCACTTATGTAAGTAATTCTTTTGTAATAACAGAACCAAAGCTTCTGTTATCATCTTCAGCCACTGACTATTGAACTTGTATCCTTCATAAGATAAATTTTAAATCAAGCATTTCTTTTATGAGGAAAAATGGAGCAAATGCCAAAAGCAGCATACATTCTCTTTACTCCTCCTGTACATTGCCTGCATTCTTTCCACTGTGTTGTATTCTGATCTAGGAAGCTTTTCATTCTAGGTGATTTCCCTATGGAAATATGTTTACCTTGCTTGTTTCTCCATGCTTGTTAGATGCTGAGCTTAATCTCAGCATTTTTTATTTTAGAATAAAAGAATAAATGAGTAAAGCCATAACACTTCTCTGTTCAGATCTCATCAGCATTATTTTTAGGCACCATTAATCTCTTCTTCACTGCGTTAGATACACCTGGAATGACACACTTACAGCAAGTGACAAACAGTTACGTCTCTCAGCATCTCAATATTTAGTTCTGAGAAAGAAAATAACAAATGTTATGAAATAAACAATAGCAAAATATATCTGTTTTAATATTAAATTAATCAAAGTCACATATCTAGTTCCCTTATGTATTTCAAAAATGCATTAGTGTGTGTGCATAAATGTAATAGGGAAAATGAATTATGGATCGTGCTCTGGGGATTAAGCACTGGTTTCTCAACGTGGAACCTCTGCTTTAATCCAGGGTTACTTTATGTGAAATTCTTGGTGGACAATGCAACACTGGAGCAGATTGCTCTCCCACTTTCTTCAGTTATTCCCAGCTAATCGCCATCCCACCATTGCTCCATACTGATCTATCACCGTCCTTCTGAAGTGTATATTAGCTCTAACCAAGGAGCACATTTTCACGTCTTCGGCTTTTAATTCTGAGGCTTCGTCTCTGATCAGACACTTTGCTGATTATATAGTATGGACGTCATAACAATACCGCAATTTAAAGATCTCTAGCCTCACCTGCATGGGATGCGTAACATCCAAGCTTCCAGTCGCAAGCTCGCAGCTGTCAGAATACAGGCAAGAATGTAAAGGTAAAGGTATCACTGTAACAGGCCTTGGAGGCCCATACAGGTGTGAGACGTCGAGGCTCCCTCACAAAGCAGAGAGTCCTCTCACTTGTATTAATAAGAATATGGGACACTTCTGTTATATATAGTGCATGCCATAGATTGCAGTGATGCATTGCGTCTCTAGGAGGAAAATTCGTTTCAGCTAGCATCACAGTCGCTTGGTCTAAATGACCGGGTAATTGTACAGGATACTGTAGTACGATTCATAATTACCCACCTTTGGAAAAAATCATGATTTGTCAAAGTTTTCGCAAAATACGTATTTTACGAAATCGTATCTTAAGCTATCCACTCCACACCCACTTATATTATCTCTCTAAGGTCCATTTTCATATTATCTGTCCATCTACGATTACATTTCCGAAGTTATCTTTATCACGAAGATTACCTGTCCTAGATTATGTACTCATTTCCCGCGATACCCATGTATGTTCGATATATCGTTCACTTTAACGTTCTTAATTTAGCCGCTCTTAAGAATATCGCATGAAGATTGCAAATTAGTATTCATCGACTTAACAACAGACTAATCGATTATTAACGGTCGACACTAATTACTCTATAATCGATATATGATCGAACTGTAAGAGTAACATTGATGTGAGAACCATTGCAATAGCATGTATTCTTATCCTTATTAATTATTACGTGCTTAATAAGATCACAGGTTTATATTGTAAGATAATTTGTACCTAAACTTGTGTTCACAACAGAAAATCACCGAAAGTTGGACATACTTTTCATATCACCAAAGATCGGTAAGTTACAGAACATGGCATATGCTGCCAATATTAATATCTTTGTGTGAACTTCTTTACATATAGTTAGAACCGTTTAATAACAATTCTTTGCAAAATGAGTGATTTAGTGATTTGTACAATTTTATGTTTTGGGTAATTTTCAGGTTTAATCTCAATTTTCTCTTCCAAAATCGTCTGGGGGTGAATGACTTCTCCAACTTCTGACATTCAGAGTGTCTTCGTCCTAGTAGTTTGTATTCCATTGCCTACTTCGATATTTCGTTTATTTTTAATCTTTATTTGCCTATGTTTTTTTTCTTCTAGTTAGGTTAATATTTCTCAATTTCGTCGATAATTTTTTGAACATTGAATTGTTCTCTGACATCTATTTTCCTTTGTTCATCTTATTCGTTTTTTATGTTTTATTTATTTCAACTTCCTGAATTACCACCAGTGCCAGAAATAATGACAGAAATAAGGAAAACAATATCAGGAAAACCACCAAAAGCCTTTGTCAGGGTAGTCGATATTTCGAATAATATTTTAACACGCACTCCCCAAAGACAAGTCGAGGGCTTTGCGCCCAACCAGCTCGGTTTCAGTTAAATAGTAACCTAGCAATGCGATGTTAAACAACAGAAGACAAAAAATATGTCGCAATAAAATACCGGCTTATTTATTCCAGCCTGGTGGCTATTCTTGCAATTAAAATAAGTATTGATAAACGATGTCAGTGACACTAGAAAGAAAATTAAGAAACTGATTTATGTAAGCCTACGCAGTACCCACTGAGATATTATCTGAAAGTCATGATGAATGCAATTTTCGCACTTCTGAAGTAGGACACATTTACATGTTGTACCATTTTAACCTGCATACAGCTACTGCTCTGAGGTAAGCTGCTCTACTCAGTATTACACTGAAGACGCTCGCCTTGGTCTCATAAGACTTCAGTGTGCTGTTGAAGGGTGAAGGGTGGAGGGTTCTCCTTCTTCTTGAGAACAGCGAAATTTCTGCTATTATGTCATAAATGCTGTGCTACCAGAGATAATACTGCCGAAGCATGAAGCTGTCCTGTAACTATCTGACTCCATGGGGCTTGGTCCTTCTTGAGAAGCCGCCAATCGCTCAGCCACTCAAGAATTTCCCAACATTTTATGGAACCAGGCGGTTCGTCACCGTGTTTATAGAAATACCCCACTGGACCCAGTCTTAAGCCGGATCAATCCAGCCCATTTTCATATTACCCGTCTACCTCCATTCTAGGCCTTACCAGTGATCTCTTTCCTTCTGGCTTTCCCGCTGAAGTCCTATATGCAATCCTCTTATCAACCATTTGTGATACATGCCCTGCCCATTTCATCCTCCTTGACTTGATCATTCTAATTATAGTATTTGCGAAAAATACAATTTATGAAGCTCCTCATTATGCAGTTTTCTCTAGTCTCCTGTCACTTTATCTCTGTTTGGTTCAAACATTCTCCTTAGCACGCTGTTCACAAACACCCTCAGAGACCAAGTTTTACACCCATACAGGACTAGAGGCAAAATTATAATTTAGGTATTCTAATTTTTTAATTTTTATGCAGCACATGAGACGACAAAAGGCACTTCACTAAATAGTAGCGAGCATTACCCGAATTTAATCTCCACTTAATTTCTTCATGAATAAAATTCTAATCGTTTTTTTAATTCGCTTATTGGGGGGTTGGAGTCCAACTGGGTCCACTCGGCACAGCGGCCACTGATTGGCCTATTGTAGTCTGCCCCGGGTGATTACGACGATGGAGAATTTGGTGGAATGAAGATTGGCAAGGGAGACCGAAATACTCGGAGAAAACCCGCCCCAGCGCCACTTTGTCCACCACAAATCCCACTTGACCAGACCCGGAATCGAACCCGGGCCGCCGCGGTGGGAAGCCAGCGACTAACCGCTTGAGCTATGGCGCGGCCTTAATTCTAATCACTTGCCGTCTTTCTTAAATATTTCAACTGTCCCACTTGTTGAAAGGATCTATTAACTCTTCTTATAATATGATTTTGCCCTGATGAAGCTGGCTACTAACATCCAGAAACTGTACTCTTCCAGACAACTTCATGACGTGATAGAAATTAAAGGAAAATGAAATCACTGTAGCATCCCTACGTTAGTTTTAATGAGAGAGTCTTGCGTCTGTCTGTTAAAACGCCTTCTCTTAATAACCTTTGAAACAGCTGAGGGATCTGCATGAAACTTTTTACGAACATCATGGAACTAGAGATCATGCCCCCTTCAAATCCTAATTTCATACCATTAATAATGCAAACACAGTGGTCGTGAAAACGTCTGAGGTTGGCAAGATGTTGGTAATATGTAGGAAGACAGTGAAATATTGTATAGCATTTGTTAAGACAGTCTTCTATATAATGAAATATAATATGGCGGCTGTGCTACATCTCTAAGCCTATTTACTATTGGCTCGTGTGTAACATGAGATTCAGCAAGCTGCATTGGTCTGTATGGCGCTGGTAGCAGTCTACTAGAAATAAGAAAAAATAAAAAATCTTATGTTGAATCGTTACTTTATAAAACGAGACGACATGTCACTGCAACTTTCTAAGCGATCTTGTCTAACTTGAGGGCACGTCTAAGGAGCATTCGATACAACCCGAATGTTTGCTAAGCGAGTTCGTTGTCCGACGGAAAAAGCTCATGTCAATATACGAACAGCCTCGTCACTGCTCACAGAAATTTTAATATAAACTGTTATGAATTCTTCCCTTTAACACCTCTGTTCAGTTCTTAGAAAGAAATTTGTGGGCTTGCTTGTCCTCTTGTAAGCTTACCATTTTAGTGGTATGACGAGAAAATAATAAATCCTCTAAAACACGGCATGAAAATATACAGGGAAATGAAAGCAAAACTTTGTGTAATCATAACCTTGGAACAGAATGAATGCGATTTGTCATCTCGTTCTCAGGC